AATATTGATATAATTGATATTTTATTATAAATACTGATTTTCTAATATTCATATCAAATTGATCTTTTTTTTGAAAGATAAATAATTAAATAAATAACAATTTTAATTATAAGAATAATAAAAATACTAGATTATCGATTTGATTCAACTTTTTCTCAAACACTACTTATTTATCACATATATATATATATATACATATAAACTTCTTTATATAATAATAGAAAAAATGATAGACTCACCTTAGAAAATTCGCAAGCCATCGTGCCAGGCGATTAGACTAGGCGCCAACAACTTTTCTTTCTTCAAATGAATATTTATCAACAATTAATTAACACTTTTCTCTATTCCTTATTCTTATTCCGTTTAAATTAGTCTTCTATTTTTTATATATAATTTTTTTTTGGTTCCCCTTATTCGCGAATGGAACGTACTTTTTGTTTATTCTTTCTTTCTTATTTTTTCTTTTATTTCTTTCTTTATTTTCCTTTTATTTTCTCTCTTTTTTTAAAATTCGAATAAAAAGATTCAGAAGAAATGCAAGTTGTTGTTGTTGTTGTTGTGCACGCGACCAGTGGCTCTCGTTTGTTTGTTTGTTTGTTTATTTATTTATTCCACGGTGTTCTCCGATGTAACAGGAAATTAATGAACAATAAAACTTTGCTTGTTGTCCCTTTCGTTCAAACTCTTCGATAGATCTTCGTTACTATAACACGGATTACACTATTTGACCTAAAATGAGAATACAAAGATATATTTAAGTATATTTTATTCATTGGTTAATGTTTTTTTTTAATGTTAATTATAATTTTTGATCGTTGATTAAAACGATTGTGAAAATTTATAAGATTGCAATGTTTAATAATTGTTTCTTTTAAACGTGTAAGGAAAAATAAATTTGCCACGCCCAATGTGAATTGAAATAGAAATGAAATATGAAAAACATTAATATAATAGTCATATTTAAGTTACAATTATCATGATACGATGATATTATCTTTGTTGATACTCTACAAATTCATTAGTTTATCGCAATTGTTAAAGTTTCTACTTCTAACTATTAAATTAATATTAGTGACTTCTTAATTTTTTGTTTGTATTAATCGTGATTAGTATGCAATCGCAATTAAATGAATATCATTTACAAAATTTAACGACAATTTACGTGCGTTCTTTTGTAATCGAGTAAGAGGGGTAAGGGGAACAGGAAATGAATGTTTATTTCTTTATTTCTTTAACTTATTTCCTTAAAAAAAATTTTATCTTCGTAAAAATGACGAAAATTTGTGTTCAGTCATCGAAACTTTTAATTTTATCGTACCGTCGAAAGAAAACCACAGATTTCTCGGTAATTAAAGAAAAAAAAGGAAAAACAAAGTATAATAAATAAAGAAACGGATATAAGAAGTATTAATAGGTTCTTCGACCAATCCGAAGAAAAGGAAAGGTAACTACAGTAATTATTATTATAAGGATCGATAAATTCACGTCAGGATAGAAAAGTTTGTGGTATAATATCTTTCACGATCGATAAATATTATCAACAAAAACGCATTCTTTTTTTCGTTTCATACTTTGTAATAAGTTTTGCTTGTTTTTTAATATGGATTTTATTTTTCTTCACGAAAATACAAGATTCAAGGATATAATTGAAAACTTATTAATTTTTGATATTTAAATAATATCATTTGTTAATATTTTTATCACACGAATTCTAAATATATCTATACACAATAGATAACATTATTTTTTTTGTGAAATAATTATATACTAATCTGTTTGAAATATTATTTTCAATTAATTGTAAATATAATAAGATATTATATAAATTTTCACAATAAAAAAAACAAATAGTTAAAATATCAGATAAAAATTTTGTTGATCACATTTATATAATATAAAAATATTCTTTGACTTTTATTTCGCGAATGTAATACATTGTAATTGCACCGTTGTTAAAATTTGAAGATAGAAAATATATGTTACTATGTTTTATACGACCTTCCAAGCGGAAATTATCTAATCTCGAAAAGTTCATCTATTGATTTAAAGAATTAAATTAGATTTCTTTCGAATACTATGAAAGTAAAAAGAAAATATATATGTATACTTATTTGCTTTCAACCAATCTGTCTTAACTAATTTTCCAATTATTATTTTCACTGATACTCTCTACCGAGATAACTATTATAGAAAATATGATCAATAGATAAGAATAATAATAATAAACGACCATATGTGTGATATTAATACAGTAAATTACAATATAATGCGAATAATTTCTATAATGTGTTAAAAATATCACGACTATTATTATTATTATTATTATTATTTCATATTAATCTGATTATTTTCCTTAAAACACGTTACATAATAAAATATACATACAACAACGTGTAACTTGGTATTATCCATGTTATAAATAAGAAATCTGTTTGTTGAATCACAGAAATCTCAAGACGAATGGAAACTTGTTAGCATTCAAGGCCGTTCGAAAGTATTGTAAATCCATGGATTTATGATAGTGCAATCCCGCGAAAGATTTTTCTACGTTTCTATTGTCTCACCTAATTCATTATCTTTCTCTCATAATTTATGATAAACGAAATATATTCCTTTTATTATAGGAATTTTTATAATTAAAATTATCAACACTATAAATATATATCAAATTATTGTTATTTCAATTCTACGATATGGTTTTCGAATGTTTTTTTTCTTTTTTTTGTTGAAAATTATATTGCATTCTAATAATATAAGTAAAAAATTTGATTCCTCGTTCGATTTTTTTTTTTCCATACAATATCTGAACGAAATTAAAAAAACCACTGAATTTAATTTGTTAAAAATAGTATATTACTTTTTATCTAATCACACTTTTTGGGTTATAAAAGATATCTCACGGGTTTAAAGTTTAAGTATATCACGATTTATGCAAGATCATTCAAATAGTTGTAGAACATTATTGATACCAAAAAAAAAAAAACATCTAGTTGCAATATCTTTTTTTTTAAGATATATTTTACGGAGTACATTAAATAGATAAGAATCACATATATATATATATATATATATATTCCTTTACAGATAACCAAGAAAATTTTGTATATTCCAAATTATTTGTAATATATTTTTTATTCTCATAACCAACGCAACTTGTAACATTCACGAATGAATAATGAAAAAAAAAAAAAAAAAAGAAAAAGAAAAAATCTGACACGAAACGATATCTGTTATCAACATTTGACACTAAACTTGCCAAAAATAACTAACCACTTTGAGCTTTTCGTGTATTCACGCAAACAAATGTAGGCAACGTTTTTCTTTTTTTTTTATCGAAACAACGATTACGAGAGAAACTAAAGTGAAAGGTATTTTTATCATAGATGAAATTTATTACGGTAGAGAAAGAAAGAAAGAAATATTAAAACGATGCATTTTAAACAAAAAATAACAAACAAACATACAAAGTTAATTTTGTATATCTCTATTTGTAAATAACATATATAACACGTAACAAAAATTTTGATCACGCTATGATATAATACGTTTGAAAACACGCATAAACTGCACTATAGTATCAAGGTTTACTATACCGGGTACAACGAACTTTTAAAACCCATCTAACGGTTGTCAGCAATAGAAAGGTGTTTAGCGTGAAATATATATATATATATATATATATACACACGAGCACGCGCACACACCCATTATACAATACATTTAAAAATATTGCATAAACAGTATACACAATGATAAATTAGCCGAACGAAAAAAAAGATTAAGTAACTTTTATTCCCGTACCTGTTTTTTCGTATGCAACAAAACTAGCCAGCCACTCGTTAAAACTTTACACAATTAGTAATAATGTAGACACGTATATATATATATATATATGTATATGTATGTATATGTACGCGGTACATACGTACACGTCAATAATACGGAATCTATATGAGGGAACACGCACGCGTATTATTAGATTTTCGCGTACGGATCGTTACGGTGGAAGCTATTAAATTTGTTTCCTCTCCCCTCCTCCCTGCACTCTAATGAAAATGACGTGCTTACTATAATTCTATGCAGTCATATAGAAAACTACTTCGAGAGTAGGCGGGCCAAATTTTGGGAGAGGAGGAAACTAAACAAAAAATAAAATAAAAGGGTTAACGCGATAGAAAAATTATATATATATATATATATAAAAAAAAATAATCTAAAAAGAAACACAACGGCGGTTTCTATGCGAATTCACGAATGCGAGGTCATACCTGCGACAGTTCTCGCTCAACTAAACGCGTGCATGCATGCCATTGAAGAAGTCTCCTACGAGATTCGTCGTAACCTCTCCCCACCACTGTTATTTACTTCCCCTTCCTCTTTTTCTAACCAATCCCACCTCACCACTTTCTTTCATCATTCGAATTTACGTTTAAACATGAGTATCTCTTTCTAACCTATATATTTAGGTCTTCCTTATAGACGGAATTGTGTGTTATATTATACAGGTGATATCTATAGGGTGTCCTAAATAATTTCTATCTTTTTTTTCTCTTTCCTTTTTTTTTTCTAATATGTTATATTGTATATTATAAAAGTTAGATGAAATTTAGATATTCGTCTGTAAGTATTGTTATTCAATTAAACTATAATATTATTATAATTATAATTAACATTATTTAACAAAGTTTTCATTAATGTCGTTTAATGGGATTAACTCTTAAGTTTTATTAAATTTAATATTTTATATATATATATATGCCATAAGAAGAAACAAATTATCTGGGACACCTTATATATATATATATAAACATAATATCTTGGAATCGTTTATAGGTATATGCATTCTTGTTTCCTTCCAATGCAACACGATCGTTACCTCGTTACCTTGAAGCTGTCAAGATTTCTATTCGATATTTCGTAGATCACTATATATATTTATATACGTATGTATTCACACGAATGAATGTAAGCAAGCAAGCAAGTAATAAGATATGTTAGCAGGTGTTGCTGCTTTTCATTGTCTTCTCATTATCGGTGAAGATTCGTTAAACGTTTAAAGAAAAAAACTATGACTCGTTAACTCGAGAACGAGTTACATTGTTTTCCCAATCGATTTTCATGTCGATCGATATCTTCATTATTCGAAGAGAAACCCGTTGTTATTGTTGTTGTTGTTGTGTAAGGTTCTCTATGAGAATTGCATTGATAGAATTTAATTCGTTGTGTTCCTTGACAATACGAGAAGAAGAAGAACATTTGAACTACTCCATTAACCTATTGCACTATTGAAGATATTCATAGTTTATTAAAGATAAATTCCGATGTTTCACACATACATACACAATATCGAAAATCTATTAATATAAGAAGGAATGGTTATTATTGTGAATGTGTGTTTCATAGGAAAATATTTATTTCCCCTATATAAAAAATATTTATATTTGATTCGATAAGAAGAACAAAAATATTGTCAAATATTTGCAAATTTATTTATCGATCAAATCAATATATTTATTTGGTAATTTATTTCTATAATAATTCTAAGTATTCTTATTTATAATAATTAAAATTAATAATTAAAAATTACGTTGGACAAACGAGCTAATATTTTCTTAATCATCTCGATAAATGATCATCATTGAATAAAGAATAACAAAATAAAGATCGAATCGAGTTTTAAATAGGAAAAAAAAGAAAAAAGGGAAAGTAGAACATAACCGAGCATACACACACATATATATGCACATATACATATATACATATATATATATATATATATTGCATAATCTTCGAACGTAGTGCGTAAATTTAGATTGACACCGTTTTATATCCGAACGACCTTCGCGATATATATATTTTTTTTTCTTTTTCCTTCTCCCCATTTTCCTTTGAGGTATTTTTTATTATTATTATTATTCATTCTCATCTCAATCCTTCGATTTGTAATCTCGCGATTAAACAATATTTCCAATCGTCAGGTCTTATTATTTGGAAAAAAAAAATACATACACACACACACAGACACACAAGATCTCCTATTTTTAAACATAATTCTCAATGTGATTTTTAATAAAAGAAAGACATTTCAAATTGGAATAAAGCCAATGAATTTTCTTTTTCTTTCTCTCTGTTTTTTATTCTATAAAATATTATACTTCACTATACAAGACACACACACACATATATATCGTTGATGGAATTTACACTGAATAGTGTACTAACACTCAACACCGTATAATAGAATATTCAAATGCTATAACACTAAACCCATTTTCCATAAATCCCCCTTTCATAGTAAGTTGACGATAGTTTAGCACGTGAATTTTGACATCGTATCGGTTGCATCCGATGCATCCCTGAATAGATAAACATCTCTTACAATTAAATATATCATACAGAAGATAAAGATACACGCGATAATTAATGAATTACTGCATACCCCTCCGAGGGGTGTTTATCGTTTTGTCTATTTTCAAATTTTTAAACAAACCTTAAAAACACATTCTCACATCATTTAAAATACTGAATTACGTATCATAAGTTAAACTATTAATTAACTATGATCTTGAATACAAGTTATTCAAGCTATATTCAATCTATTTGATATTTAATCGAAGATAGAAAAAATAAAAGTTTAATGTATATATATATATATATAAAAATATAACATGGATGATCGATCAAGTAAACATGAAAGTAAGTAGGTCACGAGCATACGCGCCCGTCGGCTAAGACTTATCCCCCCTTTTGCCCCCCCTTGCACACCCTCCTTGCCTCCCTTGACCCCCGCACCCTTTCACCAGCTCGTAGATCCTAAGGCAAACTTCTCGAATTTACTGCAAACTTTTTGGCCGCTGTCAGGTACGAAGATTTATTAAAAAGTACATACTGGCCGACGATGAATCGTCACAAAACGTTCCTATTCTCGAAGCTTTCCTATGCTATGATATATTATTTCCTTTATATATATATATATATATATATGTATATGTATGTACCTGGAATAGTATTATGTTTTAACGAGTATAGTAAAAATTGTTAATCGGTAAAATATTTTTATTTGTGTTTGTTCATTTCTTTGATAAATAGTTTTAATGATGATAATAATTTTTGTTTAAATCATAATTACGATTGAAACGGGTATTTCTGAAAAATTTGTTTAGGCAAGTTTTCTATATATATATATATGTATATAACTGGAATAGTATTATGTTTTAACGAGTATAGTAAAAATTGTTAATCGGTAARATATTTTTATTTGTGTTTGTTCATTTCTTTGATAAATAGTTTTAATAATGATAATAATTTTTGTTTAGATCATAATTACGATTGAAACGGGTATTTCTGAAAAATTTGTTTAGGCAAGTTTTCTATATATATATATATGTATATAACTGGAATAGTATTATGTTTTAACGAGTATAGTAAAAATTGTTAATCGGTAARATATTTTTATTTGTGTTTGTTCATTTCTTTGATAAATAGTTTTAATRATGATAATAATTTTTGTTTAGATCATAATTACGATTGAAACGGGTATTTCTGAAAAATTTGTTTAGGCAAGTTTTCTATATATATATATGTATATAACTGGAATAGTATTATGTTTTAACGAGTATAGTAAAAATTGTTAATCGGTAAAATATTTTTATTTGTGTTTGTTCATTTCTTTGATAAATAGTTTTAATGATGATAATAATTTTTGTTTAAATCATAATTACGATTGAAACGGGCATTTCTGAAAAATTTGTTTAGGCAAGTTTTCTATATATATGTATGTGTGATATACGAAGATAATAATGATTATTATTCGAGTGTTATTATTATCTAGGTGATCCTTAGTTGTCAGGCCTAGTTTTTAAGCCGTAATACCACGAGAGAAATTACATCCTGAAACGGTTTTAATACTCCTGTCATAAGTTTTAAAGCATAAACTCGTATTATTATCTTGCTCGAGCGTCATACCAAAGATTATTCCTATAATTCCTTCGATTAACTCTTCTAACTCTTTCTCATATATATATACTTTGATTAAATTTATATAAAAATAATAATAATATTATCGGGGAAAATATTAACTTATATGTATATAGAATTTAATTTCGATAATAATTTTTGATTACACATGCACATCTGATTTATAATATATATATATATTAATCATATAATTAAAAACAAAAACGAAATAGAGGGTCGAAGGGTAAGGGGAGGGTTTGCGTAACCTCATCGAAAAAAAAGGATAAAAAAGTAGTTGAAGTGTTAGAAATTTTTCGTTAAATCAAACGATATCTGATAAGTGTTTTTAATCTCGATTCTACTTCAAAAAATACGATATCTTTCAATCCTACTTATTTTGAGGGGGGGGTTATATATAGTATACATTGCACTCATACATCTAAATTATAGAATGTCAGGATTCACACGGTCTGATGGTATAAATTCGAAATAATTACATAAAAAAAAGTTATATGAAATCTTAATATTCGATTTTTTCACCAACGCGTATTTGATATATACATTGACAAACAATTCACGTAAATCTTGACAATCTCCAATTTCGATCTTTCACGATTAACATATACATATGAATATATACAACAACAAGTTGTTAAATTTATAAGAAGAAAAATATAAAAAAAGTTTAATATAATAAAAATGTGTTGATAGAAGAAAAACGAACAACGGGTTGAATTATTAATCATCGAATTTGTTTGAAATAATCGAACAAAATGATTCCCGATCATTTTCAAAAATACAATATACACGCATAAATATATTCGATTGGGTATCAAAGAATTATTCGATATCCAATACGTATAAAAAAAAGAGAAAAAAAAAAAGAATTCATGTTCAAGTTTCACACGCATTATTTCCTGTGCTTGATTGACTCCACCTAGACGGTACGACGCCTCATCAAGGTTTTCCTTCTCACTCACTCTCTCTCTCTCTCTCTTTCTCATATATTATATCTTTCCCTTTATCTCATTAACAACCTTTATCTCTCGTTCCCTCATTCCTAACGTCGGTAATTATTCTCGGTTTGCTTCGGTGTTTTCCCAAAATTTCGCGCGAGGAAACCCACCCTAGCTCGACTACCCTTAAAGACTCCCCACCCCCTTCCGTCGTTCATTCGTGACATACGCGCGCGCGCATACGAGTAAAAAGAGAAAGAGAGAGAGAGAGAGAGAGAAAGAGATGGAAAATATAAACGTCCGAAAGCAAGAAGAAGAAAAAAAAAAGAGGGAAAAAGGGCAGCCCTCCCCCTTTCCACCCCTAAAACGTCATAAAATAAGTTTGGTTCGTTTTAAGTATCGCGATGCGAAAGAGACTTAGGAAAAAAGAAGAAGGGGATCGATTGTCAAAGTCTTACGAGAAACAGCCTTGATGGGGGAGGGGGTGGAAGAGGAAGAAGGGAGAAAAAGAGGGAATTTAAACGATGAAGTCAAGAGGATAAAGGGTAAAAGAGAGAATCATCGAATAGACAAAGATTTATAATAAATTGGTAATTTTGTCGTTTAACGTCGGTTAAAACCGTCGGCTAACTTTGAAAATATAACATAAGAGGAGGAGGGTGGAGAGGGGGTGCAAATGAGATGATCCATATATTAAAATAGACATTTTTGAATACGCCTAATTGGAAATAAACGCGATCTCCTTCGATCCTCGGATTAACAAAACGGGCGTTGGAAGCCACGAGTATGACGACTATGACGACGACTATGACGACGACGACGTCCTCCGGTATCGATCGAGGAAGGTTGGACGAAAACGAGCTTCGAGACTCTCGTCCTCTAGCCTCTTCTCGAGATATTACGAAAGGAACGCACTAAAGATGTCGTTCGTGATCATCTTCGAGAATAATAGAAGAAAATTCAAACAAATTCAGAGAAAGAGAGGGAGAGAAAGATATAATATAATTAACACTCACCGTATTATTATAAGTAGTTCGAGTCACACAGTTCGGAATGTAATCGAGTGATCCCCAGCCATAAAAGAGTCCGCTAGATAGATAGATAGATAAATAGATAGATAGATAGATAGAAATAGAGAGGAAATAGATAAACGGATAAAACAGGGGGTCTAAAGGAAAATTAGGGTTAAAATAAAAGGATGATAACGCACGCAGTGAAGAGAGAAAGATATAATCTTGTTGTTGGTGTTGATGGTGGTAGTTGGTGGTGATGGTGATGGTTTCTTTCACGGTATCGTCGTCGTCGTCGTAGAGGTCCTCTTGGTATAAACGGCAGTATTGGCAGTGGCGGGAGTGAGGGGGACAAATACAGAGTCGGCAGCAGCGGTGACGACACTGATGACGGCAACGGCAGCGGCGGCGGCGGTGGTGACGGCAGCGGTGGTGCTGGTGGCGGCGACTGTGACGGAAACGGCAGAAGGGAAAACAACGAAGACAACGGCAAAGAGGAGGAAGCTGCTGACGATGACGACGACGACGACGACGTTCTTCTTATTATTCAGATTTTTCTTATTATTATTATTATTGTTATTATTGTTGACTAAGATGCTGTTGTTGTTGTCGTTGCTGTAGTTGTTGTTATTGTTATTGTTGTTGTTGTTGTTGTTGTTGTTCCTCTTCTTCTTCTTGTTGTTCACGTTCTCGTTTTCTTTTTCGTTTTCTTTTTCAAACACGACACTGCGTATAACGGGGATTCTTCCTACCAAGTCACTGTTATCCTCGCAAACCGAGGACACCATCTCCTTGCTCGTCCGATCGCCCGATTCACTCTCGAGGACGATGCCGACGACGGCCGCACTACTAACCGCGACGCACGAAGCTCGCGCTACCATGAATAGTAACATCGTCGATTAAATGCTAACGTCATCCTCCTCGTCCTGGTCGTCATCTTTCTCTCTCTCTCTCTCTTTCTCTTTCTTTATTCTTTGTTATTTTATTTTCTCCCGTTATTATTCCGTCCGAGTCACCACGAATTAAAAAACTCCTCGCACGGAAACTAAACTAATTAACTAATTAACTAACTAATGCACCCCGCAACACGACGATACTTTTCTTCCTCGTCGTATTGTATCGTATCGTATTCGAACTTAACGAAAATTCGGTAAAATAAGAAAGAGAGAGAGCTAGAGGTAGCTTTTCCTGGGGATAAAGGTGAATCGAGGAAAAGGCGGTGGTCGTCCCCCGTTCGACTGCACGACACCGATCCTTGATAGAAGGAGACGCCCCAACGCGGGCCACCCAGTTCGACGTATGGCGAGCGACGGCTCACCCCGCGGATCCGTCTGTGCTCGGGCCAACTCGCGCAGTGCCGTATCTAGACCACCCGAGTACTTCGTCGACGCCAACCGACGACCTTCCCACTCTTTTATCTAAACCCCCCTTTCCCACCATCCCTCTCTCTCTCTCTCTTTCTATGAACCCTCCCGCAAGAACGCGATCATTTTTTAACATACTTCCTCTTTTTCTTTTTATTTTTATTTTTTACCACGACATGAGCAATATTATTCGACGACAGAGATATAATAATAATAATAATGTCTCCCTTACATGTCTCTAAGTACAAACATTTGCTCGTGGTTAATACAAAAATGTTTCTCCCGTGATGATTAAGGTTCCTTTCCCATCCCCATCCCTTCCTTTTTACAAAAAGAAAATAAATACCTTTCACGTTTAACAGTTATTATCTTTTTAATAATGTAACATGTTTTCTCCTTTTAAGAGCCGATAATGGGTAGATAAGAAGAAGAATAAGAAGATGATGATGATGATAGGTAAAAGTAAAAAGGAATGATTTAAGTGTCGCGGGCACCGGGAATACTTTGGGGCCGACCTGGAACCGTCGGGCACTCAGCGGCAAGGTGCGGGGGACTAAGGAAACCCTTGAAATCAATAGCCGGCCGCTACTGCCGCCGCCACCCTGATCAGGCTCAGTTCTGCGCTGCACATCCGTCCTCCCCCTAGCATCATCATACACCACCCTTCTTTTACAGCTTCTCTCTCTCTCTCTCTCTCTTTCTCTTTCTCTTTCGCACCGATTCTGATTTATCTGTACGTCGTAACCGAGGAAGCCAGGAACTGCACTTCAGTTTGCGCTCGAACGTCCCGCTACCAGTACGGGCACCGCACGTCATTCGTCGACTTTTTTAGCGGTGTTCCATGTGACGGTGAAAAGGGTGGAAGCGAGGGGATGGGTGGGTGGGTGGGTTGGTACGATCATGAATTGTCAGCCAAAAATAAACCGAACTATTATCTCTTTCTATCTATTTATATTTCCCCCCCACCCTCCCTCCCTTTTATTCCCCCTCTTTTTCTATCATTATCATCATTCATTTCTCATGAGTTAATGATAATGGATTTGATTATTTATTATAAAGGAATGACTCTTGTATGATTAACACTGAAAGAAAACGCATTGATATATTATGACTTTCGTCGATAACTTTCTTCATAATGGGGGTTGGGGAATGGGATGGGATAGGATAGGAGGTGGGGACAAAATGGAGAGAAACAATATTAATATTTATTCGAAACACATATTTCATTTTATACTCTTACCATCTCCTCCTTTCAGCAAGCCCCACTCATTAGTTTTAACAATCTTAAATAAAGTAGCTTTTTGCAATATATTTTGGTTGTTTTATTATTTATTATTTGAATGCGCGAGTCAAACGCGATGCAGGGAGGAGGAAGCACGTTTATGGGTAATAGGGTGCATAATGCATGTGAAGGAATGGTTTTGCATATCGACGAGAACGTATATTATTCGAGGACATTGCAGAGTCCATAAGGGTTGATGCAACTTTCTTTTCTTTTCTTTATTTTTTTGTTTCTTGTTTTTCAGAGGTGACACTTTTAAATAACGTAGGCGTTAGCAAAGGGTAGAAAGTCAAAAATAAAGATCAAGCGATCATCGTTTAAATTCGAATTAATTTCTCCACTGCAGTGTGTAGATTTCTGCACCCTTACGATGATGACCACCACCATCACCCAGTAGCACATTCTCCCCCTTTCACCCACTTCTCCTGTGCCACGTACAAAGTCGTTACGTGTTTATGTGTGTATGTGTATGTGTGTGTGTGTGTGTACGAGGGTGGTCTGATTACGGTCTGACCTACTCTACTTCGGGCTAGGGCCATACGATTCTTCTTCTCTCTCTTACACACATACACATACATACATACACGCACATACATACACACACACACTTACCTAGTCTTTATTTCCTTTTTTCAATTATCTTTTTCAAAAACTTATCGCTTATCTGACCTTTCTTCGCATTATATATATATATGGAGTTATAAATTAATTAAAATAATTTGTGTGTGATAATGTTGTCCTGATAAAGTTTATTAAAATTAATATCTAGATTCAAATTGTATGATAAAATGACACGATACACAACAATCCGTCGAATTAATTTTTTTTGTTAATACTTTTTTTTCTCTCCACAATTTTCTGACGTTATAAGGATATTATTATTAAAGATATCAATGAAAAGAGATTTTTCTCGTAAATTTATTATAATATTTACGAAACTCGAAGAGGGAAGAAACCTTAACGAAACGCAGCAATCCTCAAACGAAAAGAAAGGGATGCGCAATTCGTTTCGTTTCGATTTCATTCTTTTGTTTATCTCTCAAACAAAACGTTATTATTTTAATTTATTAGATCATTCCTCTTTTCTCTCTAGCACTCTTCAGTTTTATTTAACAATAAGTAAATTATTTAATGCATATTTTTTTAACTCGTTACAGAGATCTTTGAATACATATATATATATGTATATGTATGTGTGTATGTATAATATGTATCTTAATGGTTTTATATTATTACTATTACTTATCATTTATTATTATAGAATTTGAAACGAATTTATATTAATATACGCGATCGTGTAAAATAACACGTGTGCACTTTAGGCATGAGTACCATCATATTATTTACAGAAAAACGTGGCACGGATTGTTTTTGCCGATTTTCTTGTTTCCATTATTTTCTCGTTAAGTAACACCGGAAAGCTGGTATATATATATATGTATATTATAGTGTATATGTAAGTATGTGTGTGTCAAATTTCCTTCGATTCTCCTTATAAAGATACACAATTACATATTAAACCTAAGATACTTCTTGTGTCGTAAAGAATAATTTGAAGATCTCATATAAATCATCTGATTTATAGATAATCATCGTACCTTAGATGTTCTTCACTGAAACACTTTCTTCGATATATAATTCTTACTGTATTCGAACTCAATGTATTTGTAATAAATAATAGTATAAATAATAAAAGTGAAAACACGTTTCCATTGTGATGTATCACGTATATACGTAGTATGTATTATACATAAGAAAACTGTAATTGCATAACAAGCATTAAAACACATAAAGAAATAGTGGGGGAAAAAAAAAAGAAAATTAACAATAAGATAAGAATAATAGTATATAAGCTAATTTAAATACAAACAGTTCGCCATTGTATTATTTTTATCTTTTTATATCTCCTACATAATTATATAAATGTTTAACGTCTTGTGTGTAAAGTATTAACTGTTAAGTGCTAAGACGATTTTCATTTATTATAACTTATAGCATGCCAACTTAAAAAAGTGTATTTATATATAATAATATATTATATATATATATATTTTAGACTCTTGTTCTTTTCTTCTCTTTTCTTCTTCGTTTTTATTTGTTGAAAATGAAAAAAAAAAAAAAAAAAAGAAAAAGTAAACGAGTGATTTCATGTCCACGTAAACCATGCTCCACTTTAGACTCAAAAAGAATTTTAATGACAGAGAGGTACAAAGTACAAATATTGTATCGTGTGACATCCGAGATATCTTTATTTTTAATTTTTATAAGACAAACATAAAGAAATAAAAAGTACACTGAAGCGTCATAAATTCAATGCATTAACTTCTTAAATTATATGCCACTGCTCTTTGATGCAGTCATCACTACCGTATGGACAATGACGAACCACTACTATTCAGTCAGCCCCCCTTCCCTCTCTGCTTATTCTTCAAAATTACATTTTCGATTAAATACGAACTAATTAAAAAAATGTTTAATGAATAAAATGACAAATTTGACGTTGAACGTCGGCGCGAAATACACTTAATTTTTAAGGCGTTATTACCTATCACAGTGTTAACGTGCCCGCGCGTAACTCTTCATCTTAGAACACACAATGTTTACAATTGCTATAGTTTTCAAACTTGTGGATTTATAACTAAATGAAAAATATTGAAAATATATTAGTAAATATCGGCAATTATATTGAAAAAATGGAGCTAGATTTAAAAAGATAGACTCCTCGATGGTGATGGTATTCGATTTAAAAAAATGTTGCAAAACTTTTTAAAACTATCATACAAAATACTTCATTTAAACAAATATAAATTTCTTTAAAATTAGTATTTTGTATAAGTAATTTGATTGACCTAGTGGTGGCAATGCATGGTGTCAAAGACACAAGACGCAGGCAAGTGTTGTTTGTTAAAGCAAAAAAAATCCTTTTGTAAGAAGTGTATGCGTGGGAAGTTTATTAAAAACAAATGTATAAACTAGTAAACATTTATCCAAGACATGCTACTTGATATTTAGTTTTCACCTAAATCAGTAACATTTCTTAGATGTTTAACAATTAACTAATGTGGTATCAATCCCAAGCCATTGGACTCTTGACTGGAACATAACAAACATTTCTTAAAAAAGGATTTGAAGTTTCCAAATTTAACGAAGTTAACAAAATTTCGGATGATTTACCGGGCTAAGCACATTCCCAAAGCAAATAGTCCTATTAATGCAGACCACGACTGTTCCTGTTAATATAATTTATTATTATCAATCAAATAATGGTACGACTGAAATTGGTCTTTGCAGTCTGAAGATGGCAGGGGGGCAGACTAAGAATGTAGGGAAAAAAGGGATGTGCCGAGGTATATTTGAAGAATAAGAGCTGCTCAGATTAGTTTTCCCAACAAATAGCCTAATATGACCATTGCAATGGTAATGATATAACTGATTGATGACATAGAATACTGATTACTGCTTTGGGCTGGCAAACCTCTAGCATCCTCCAATGCTGAATTCCGGTATTTCATTAAATCTCTCTGGTAACGATAAAAACAAAAAATAAGAATTAATACTAATCTCTATTCAAATATTATCTTTTGCATTAAGTGTGCTAATTGAAAAGAAAAAAAAGGCAAAAAAAAAAAAAACAATTTATCGAATTATCGTAAAATATTTCTTATCATTTACCCTGAGTTGAAGGTTCTCCTGCCTGAGAGCACTTTCCTCTACTCTAAGCTGAGTTACCTCTTGTGCTGCTTTTAACAATTTCTCTTCTGTTTCTTCCAATACCTGAACACATGTGAAAATATTAATATTATTAATCATTAATATTTGTGCTTTGAGGATAGATTTTATTCACTCGTTGTAACTTACCTTTGGAGAAGACTTCACCGAATCACCAGTACCTTTATTTTTCTCGTTATTCGTAGTAGTATCCGACCTAGTTGTCGTAGTGGTTGTAGTCGTTTTAGTTGCAGCAGTAGTTGTTACTGGATTCTCAAATACGCATTTTAACTTAGAGTCCATTAATTGCTCCGGTTTTGTCTCTTTCCACTAAAAAAAATTATTAACACGCGTATATAATAAATATACATAAATAATAATTAAAAGTATTTGCTTTGATACATACCACATCGTTTAAATAATCATCTGAATCATTATCCGGAGCTATTAAACTCTGAACCATAAATTTGTGTTTATTTTTATCCGCTGGATCAAAATCGCAAGGTTGTAAGCATACTAAAATGCAAAATAATTCCTTTCGTATAAACGAAATATTTAAATATTTTTTAATTGATCAACAATCAAATAGATTTAAAAATTAACCTGCTACTTCTGCAATTTCCATTGGCTTCAAGGCTCCTGAATTAGGGCGTACGCAATATTTCTTTGGTACGGTCGTTTTTATTTTAAAATATACTTTATTAGTAGTAGGATTTATTAATTTTATGTAAGATGTGACTGGAGCTCCGGTGAATGGGCCTAAAAAAGAATTATTATTACTGTTACTTTTAATAATACACACATACGTAATACAATGTAATATATAATAATATGCAATTAATAAAACATAAATAATAGAACGTATCCAAAAAGATAAACAACAATGGTATAATACCATTTAATAACGTTTATCATTATTAAATAAGAAACGTAATTCTATTGAAATAACATAGATCAGAGATCATTGATATACAGATTAAACATGACATAGCAAAATGCTAATGCAACAATGATAAAAAACAATGATCAAGTAGAATAACATTTCTATCAAATAGACTACATTAGTAGATGTGCGTTAAAAAAAAGATCTTTCATATTTATAATAATAATAATGCTTGGATTTAACTATGTAAAGATTGAAACATAAATATTACATTATTGGCTATAAAAAAAAAAGTGAACATTTTAAATGGAAATACGTGTATATGAGACGACTTATTAATTAAAGGCATCGTCACGAAAGTAATATATTCACCTGACACATTGAATATAATTAGACATGCGTGTGGTTTTTTTTATATATATATCTTAATTTTAAATACGAAAAAATTTGCATTGAAGAAAAAAAAAAACTACGCAAGGCCAAAGGTAGACGTTAAATAGATAGATAGATAAAAAGAGAAATAGATAGATAGACAAAGAGAGAGAGCGAGAGAGAGAGGGGAAGAAAGAAAATGACATATATAAGAGGATAGCAAAGTATATGGATAAGAAAAAGATGGAAGTAGGGAAGAAACGAGTTAGAGAGAGAGAGAGAAAAAGTGTGTGTAAGCGAAGAGAAGAGGATTGGGAGGAAAGAGGAGACGAGGAGGAGGGAAGGAAAAGGGGAAGACATGGAGGAGGGGTAATGTGGAATAGAAAAGAGGAGAGGGGAAATAAAAGAGTTAAGAAAAGCGTACAATAAAATGATCATCCTGTACTTGGCTTTGACAGCGAATGACGTACAACGAATAGGGTTAAGTACGACTTGGCACTTTCCGTTGGATTTTCTCGAATATAAATTCTTCAATTTGGGTAGGGTAAGTGGGGAGGAGGAGGAGGAGGACGGGGGGGGGAGGTGAGAGAAACGCGTTTAGACATTAATAAAAACACGGGAGAGGAAGGGAATCTCGTAGTATTTCTCTCTGTCCGTTTCTATCTCCCTTACGTCATCTTGACAATGCAGTACAACACCGTGTGCACTAGGGGGTTTCATTCGAAACCGAAATCGGTTAATTTTTGTTACGAAATATAGTGATATGTAGGATCAAAGTCAAACGTATAATACGTATAACTAAGTATATACTATATGGTATAATAAAGAGATAAACTCAAACGAATAAAGTAGGAGAGAAGAAATGGATGGATGGATGGTTAAATGGATGGGTGGATAGATGATTGGGTGGATGAATAGATTGATAGATAAATAGACAACTAGATAGATATTAAAATATGAATTAAATAAATAAATAAATATATGAAGACGTTGTGTCGATCGAAATATAAATTACGAAGATCGTTGATCCTTCGTACCCCTGAATCGTAGTTCGCTTTCCGGCTCGATAAGTAAAACTTGCGCAGGCTTCGCCATCCTATATTTTTTATCAATCCAATGAACCTTGCGTCGCGTCACTTCGGCGTTAAAGGGCTTTCGTTTCTTCTATTATATTAACTTAATGACTTAATTGATCTGGACTTTTTCTTTTTTTTTTCCGTGTGCTCGCTCTGATATTGGTAAAACGGCACCACGCGTATCTCGTACTCGCTTTCCGGGATTCCGTTCGACTAATTCCAATTTTCTCTCTCCTTGCGAGCGAATACGCATGCGTCACGACGGAAATTATCAGGCGTACTTGGACGCGTTACGTCACGACGATCTTACCACGGTAATCATATTCTCTACTTTTACACGCCACATGTAAATTTGGATGGCGAGAAAATATGACCGAGGAGTGGGGTTGAAATGAAATGAAAGCAAAACAAGATTCTCGTGACAATTTGATTAAAGGTCGTCGTATTATTATCTCTCTTATATCGTAACTATTAATTTTCTATTAATTTTTCTAATCATATTTTTTTTTCCAACGGATGAACTTTTTCAAACCGGGAATACGTTCATAGCATTTAGCAATTGTTTAAAATTATAGTTTCTTTTTATCTTGCAATTGTTTGGATATTCTTTTTTCCAAATACTCTTAACGTATAATATATATATATTTTTATATACGTGTATATATATATATATAACACACCATTTCTATTTTTCTTTTTTCTTTCTTAATATCAATATCACATTTTAACATATCTCATTAAAATTGTTTAATTTACTTTAATTTTCGCGCTTTTATTATTATTATTTTATATTTTTAATATTTATATTATTTTTATTTTGAATGAAAACATTTGACTTATTTTAACATGAGAATTGGTGTTGTAAATTTGCCTGAAGTATTTTAAAAGATATCGTTATTTGTCCATAGATTATATACGTTCGACCAATGATATTATTGCTTTAATGGCTGCTATTCATTAATTGGCTGATTTCGCATAAAAATTACAATGGTAAAGGTTCAATTGTAAATCCTACGATTTACTTTGAATTTTCTACTGTTTTGGTATTAAATGAATATAGGTGTTGCTGATATTTTATAACTTTTTATAATAATAATTAAATATAGTTAGGTATAAATAATTTAAGATCATGGATATATCTATCGCTCCGAATTTAAATGCCGAAATCTACAGAAATTTGGCACAAGCCGATCGTCCGACTGTTTCTGACAAACATTTACAACTTATATTGGTATATGATGGTAATATTCGACATTACATGTTTATATAAATTTAAACATAATTAATATATATACATACATATCTGCAATGTGTATAATAACTAAATTAACGTTTGCACGTCTTATTGATTTACAGATAATAATGCTATTCTTGGTGGTAGTAATATGACAGATCGTTTCTGGACTGGTACTCTGTGGTATTACAATGATATTTCAGATTTTACAAAATCTAAAGCTTTACAATCGACTAAAACTGTAACTGGTATAACAACGGGAGCATATCTAGAGAAAGATAAATTTATAATTGGCGAGGATAGCGGCTTGTTACAAATCATTGGCCTAGTTGAAACATCTAAGAAAGATACAATAGAATTACAATCGTTTGGATATGCTTGTCAACACGATGATACTCTTACAAGCATTTCAGTATTTTCTGATAAAGAACGTTTAGTGAGTAGCGGAATGGATTGTTGGTACGCTTTTTATCGTTACAAATCCATAAACCATTTAAGAAAATTATAGAAATATTAATATTCATTTGTCGTAGCATAAAGGTCTGGGATATATCTAATCTAATGTCTACAGATTCATTCCATTCTAGTCACATAGATGTTGTAACTGGAGTTGATGTACAACATGGAAATAATTCTGTATTTATGTCTTCGTCATTAGATAACTGTGCATTAATGTGGGACCTAAGAAAATCAAAACCTGCGCACTGTAAGTCTGCTTATATTTAAAGATATTATTCTTTATTTTATATATATTTGAATATTTTCATTAATATTAATCTTGTTCTATATTCTATAAGGTATTTTAGAAAAATATGGTTATGGGTTGACTTCTGTATCCTGCAGTCCTGTCTCTGATAATATTGTTGCAATAGGTGCAAATGATGGAAGTGTTACCTTAATAGATATTAGAAATATGTATGACGTATTATTCGAGTCATTAATATTTTCCAGATCAATACATAAGCTTTTATTTAATCCAAATCCAGAAAGGTAATACAATGAAATTTGGCATGATCTTTACATTAATAACCCATATTCAAATAATATCTAAACACTTATTTGCACACATAGATCATTGATAATAATTATACTTGTCTCATTTCAATCGATATTGAACATTAAATCAATTAAGGGATGTTTCATTTAATAATTTAAAGAAATTACATATATCTTTCATTTATCTTTCTCTAGGTCAAGTCAAATAGCTTGTTGCTGCGATGACGTAGTAATTAAAGTTCTTGATACAAATAAAGATTGTAATGTTATTTATGAAGATACTAGACATACGGATTTTGTACGTGGACTCGCTTGGTACAAAGATAAATTGATATCGTGTTCTTGGGATGATCAAGTTTTAAAACATACGATTTAATTCTTGTATAATTGAACATTAAACTTGTTACTTTTATATTAAAATTAATTCTGATCACTGATCAGTTTAATAAAATAGAAATATTAATGTTTCTATACATTTTAATGCAGTTCTCATTTCATTGTTCTTTCATTTACAAATTTGCTTAGAATAGTTTGGATTTTTTTTTTTTCAGGACCAGAGAACGAGTAATTCTAATTAAAATCTTAGATACCCTATTGTTCTAGTCATTTATAATTCTCACAATTTTTTTTAAATAATTCTCAAATGTATAGCAATATATATATATATATATATATATATATATATATATATATATTGGAATGTAGTCTTACGTAACTATCAATATTTCTAAAGATTTCCTTTTCCCATATTGACCATAATTCAATAAAGTAAATGACATTTTTAACGTAAATAAAAAATCATTACATCGAAATTGAAATATTTATTCATTGTGAAATAGACAAAACAATGTCATTTATAAATAAATGGAAACTATATCTTCTCATCCGTTGAATAAAATTATTAAAGTGTGCCCATATTAGACAATAGATAAATGCATTTCTTTGCAGAAGAATACCATAATTCCGTAATTATATGACATAAAATCATAGAATGAGAAGCATATATAATATAATTGATCATATACAACATGATTTGATTGTAACATTCCCATTTCAGTACTTGAGAAAAATTAATCGAGTCTTTAATCCTTATACATTTTCTTTCCTTACAAACTATTTGCCATTCTTCCATACGCGTTAAGCTTTTTAATAGATAAAAAAATTAAATGTGTGTATAGAAAATTTAGTATAAATTTCATGTTTTATAAATTCTTTGCAATTTTTATGGTTATATTTATTTTAAATATTTGTTACGATAATGTTTGCACGTTTTTAATCTATGATTATGTGATCATTGTGATCACGATCAATTCAAATTATTTTTAGCTTAGAAAAGAACAAATGTAAAATAAAATGAGCATGCTAAAGATTGAGATCATATTGAATAATATCTGGTCTATTATGCTTAAAAAGAAATGCAACGTCGTGCTTTTTAATGATATGGATCAGTGATATGAAACTAAGAGAACCCATATACAGGAAAAGAATGAAAAAAAAAAAAAATAATAATAATCACGTGATAATGTTAAAGAAGAATATTTGCAATTTTATATTCCTATTTTTTTAAAATAGGTCATATCCTAAATAAGTTCTTATTTGATTCTATACAGTCTCCTTAACATAACACGTTTGAGATAGATATTTCTCTGATACAACACTTTAAACGTTCAAATGCAATCTGTTAATTAGATAAACAGATATATTTTATAATATTTGACGAATTCTACTTTTGCAGCCAACTTTTAAATGTAATATATATCTAAAGATAAATATTAATTTTATATGGAGGTATGTTAACAAATATAAATTGCACACAGTTTGGATAGATTGGCGAACCAGGAAATAATATTTTATCAAAAGTCATTCATGATCATCAGATTGAAAAAAAACATTTACATTGTGGCACCAAAGAATAATGAATGTATGCGTCGATGAGAATACATATTTTATATCAGTAAATAGAGGCAGTCTGATCCATTTATTTTCTGCATCTGTATTTTGTCCTTTGTCCTTTGTAATATGCTAATAATTATGGACATTAATTAAATCGTTATGTACATTTTGGGTTTTTATATACTGAAATATAATTGCATTATCACGAATGCAATATGTAACTCTCATATCGACATTCATTCTTTTCCATCAATCTAGTCAATATATATATATATATATATATGTATACATATATACATGTATACACACATATATATATATATATATATATAATTATTATGCATTTATTATTATGTTTTTCAAAAATGTCTTTTTTTTCTTTATATCACTTTTGTTTGATCGGAAATATTTCTCAGTATTTTCAGTAGCTCGATTACGCTCCAAATTCTTTATCCTCATCTGCTCTAATGTCTCCATATTCCCAGATATTACGACGATTATGCTTAGCTTCTTCTTCCGCCTTTGCATATTCTTCAATCTATTAAAAATTGGAAACATAGACAAGGAATAAATTAATTTTTAGTTTATCATACACTGCTTTATATAAAATTAATTCAACTTACCAATTTTCCAAGTCTCTTATCTTTATGTTTGTGAACCAATAATAGTCCATCTGCAATGAGCCCTTTGGCAATATCATCGTTTGTAGATACATCAGCGAGAGTTACAGCATGAAGATTGTTGTTTACTTTGTACTCAACATTCATTAATAATATTTTATCCATTACATCCTCTTTAAATGCTTGCACAGCTGCCTTCTTATCATCATTCTAGAAATTAATTTATAATAATATTGTTATTGTGAAATAATTCCAATATTGTAATGTTTATTATTAATTCAAAGAGTTTGAAAAAATGATGAAATTACTTACATCGTTTGGTAAAGCAACGCATGCAAGTGTGTACTCGTGCGCGTAAGACTTGTCAGTTGCAAAACGAGCAGGTAAATCAGCGACTCGTGTTACATTAATAGTTTCTCTATTACCATAGTCAATGTAAAATACACTAACATTTGTGCCTGCTACTTTTTCTGTTTTAACGCGATACCATTGGTCGTCGCCAGTAAATTTGGCTACTGCCAAGTCACCCCTCGTAGGCTTATAAGCACCAGGAAGTGGAGGACTAGCAGCTAATTCTTGTCGTAATTGTGAAAGTAAGTTTTCCAACGAACTGCCCTGTTCAACGTGTTGAGCATAGAAATGAAGATCTTCTGTTACTTCGGTAATAACTATTTCTTGATAATCTATTTTTCTTTCAGCAACTTCTTTCTCATCTTCATTCTTTTCATTCTCAACTTGCACTTCGACGCGATTCTTCCAAATCTATAAAAAAAAAAAAAATCAACAATTAATTATAAATATTTAGATAATATTAAATATTAAAAAAAATAAATAAAGTAATACCAACATTAAGCTTTTTAGACTTTGCCCTTTCTTCCGCAGCTTTAAGCGTTTTAGTAAATTCACCTAAATCAGGGAAAGTCACTACTTCAGCTAGACCTTCTTCCACCAAAGCAACAGACATATTAATATCATTAACGGTTAAACATCCTATAAAACCGCTTCCTTTAGACTCTGTACTTTCAATTTTAATCTCTACGTCCCTTTGGAAGCAATGTTCCTTAGTGAAAGCTAGAGCTTTATCTCCATATTCATCTGCTTTAATAATACCTCCTCCAGGTAAAGATCTCTGACATCGAGGTGTTCTAATACCAGCTAATACGAATGTTATTAATTGATCTTCTTTTGGTAAAAACAATTTCAAGCGTGAACCACTTGTGACGAATTCAACCACAGCTTTAATTCCTTGGGCTCTCTTCAACGATGTTAAGAATGCTTTAGCTTTAGAGGGATCGTTGGAAAGATCTACTAATCTATGAACTGGAATATCTTTCTTTGCGTGCAATCCATGTTGTGATTTTTCTGCTTTACTTTCGGCAACTTGAAGCAAATTGTAATGAGAGGAACGTTGATCGTCGCTTTGCTTATGTTTCACCACTCTAGCAAGACCCCTTGAAACTAATGCTTCTGCAACATTTCTATAAAACAAAAACAAAAAAGAATAAATAACGATGCATACATAAATTACCAGATATAAATAAATATTTCTTTCTAACTTACGTTTTTCCGCACATGACTGTACAACATAATTTTTCTGGAAAATTATCTCTTGCTGGTTGCGTATAATCGACTACAACTTTAACGTTTTTTCTGATAAATTTTTCTCTAAGAAATTCACGTGCCTCTAACATCCACGGTATGTCATACAGAGGTCGGTTCGACCTGGTAGCATTGTTAGTATCTTCACCAGGTTTCTTTTCTCTGGATGGTGGTCGAATGCTGCTTAAGAATACTTTTTTGTTTTCCCCATTTTGTGTCCTGATAATAAACGCGTCTGCATTTACGATTTCAACGATAGTACCAGTAAATTCGATTTGCGGACCAGACGGCTTATAATCCTTCCATAAACGTAATCGTGCCTCTTTAGCAGCTTTTTCAGCAAGATAAAGCTTTTCGGCACCAGATTTGCTGTTGTTTATAGACCAATCTTGACACTTTGCAAAACCTTCGCTCAATAAGATTTCCGCAATATTTCCTATTAAATAAATGAAATTGTTATAATGATTTTGATTATTTGCATCGCGTCTACAATCATATTGCGACAAATAATATTAACCTTTAGGATGAATAACGCTTCCAACAAAATTGTTGTTATTCACAGATTCGAGAATAATCTCGACATCTCTGTGTAGAAGACGGGACTCTACAAAATACCTTGCTTCTTCTGCATACGGATCACCTGAATTAGCATCCCGTCGTCCACTTGGCCAACCAGGACATCGAATACCAGATATCATCAATACAATGTTGTAAAATTCAGGTAACAAAAATGCTTTTACAGTTGACCCATTGAAAACAAATTCAATAACAGCTTTAACGGGTTTCTTGCCATATTTTTCTACCAATTTTCTAGGATCATCAACGGTCCATTTAACGTCACGTACGTGTACAGAACCTGGTGAATCCGACCATTTGCCTTTGTTAGCTGCTTTCGCAGCATTTTCTAATTCGATCAACCGTGTTTGCTCGGCTGTAGGATTGCGAGTATCCTTTTTAACGTTAACTAAGCCTTCGGAAACTAAAGACTCTATAACATTTTCTCCATTTTTATCTGTCAAAAAGGGTATTGTATAAATATCTAATTAATTTTTTACAAAATTAATTTATGTACACATATATGTATAAACATTATACCTTTTCCCAGCCAAACAGTGCCGTATGTTTTGTTAGTATTAACAGCTTTTTCAGTTGTAAAAGTAACATCTTGACCGATAAGTTTTTTACGTAGAAATTCTCTTGCTTCCCAGGCATAAGGTTCATCTTTACTTTCTTCGACGCTGTAAATTCAATTATAAGTTAACATGTTTTCTATATAATTGAAAGGCTTAGCAATTATTCTTACCTATCATTTGTTTTCCAGCGTTCTAATTTTGGAGCGGTTATGTTACATAAGGTTATAGTAACTTCTGGTGGGGGTCCTCCAATCGGTTGTCCACGAATTACAATAGTATCTCCTGAAATGATCTATACACAAAAAATATATATTTTTTTTTAATATAAAATAATAATCATCAATATACCGTTATATATACAAAAGATATCAATTAAGTTAACGTATCATTTGTTTTATCTAAAAGGAACGTACTTTTCATACAAGATTAAGCATAAGAAGTTTTATTTGTTAAGATCATTATTTGGAAAGATTTCAAAGTTGAAAAATATTGCCATATCATGTTCTACATGACGCAATAGTTTAATGTTGACATATGGATTAGAATAATGAAGTAGAAAGTAAAGAAGTATAAAGAAATGATGGAACGACGATACAATGACCATATGTTGTGCACGTTTTTCTTTTTTTTTTTTTAGCAAGAGTATACTTGAAGAAAATAAAGAAGTAGGAAAAAGTAAAGGTATTCTTCGACATTAAGATAAATTATTCAATTTAAATTTCGATTTATCGAATAAATCTTTTCAATAAAATGCACAAAATTAGATTAGCCATGAAGTTTTGAACGCTTACCTGCTTAACCACGCCGTTTCTCGGTTTAACTTGGCCCTGAGCTGGTGTGCTCATCGTGCCGTGCATATGCAGAACGCTGATTCTCAATAAATGAACAAAAAATGTCTAATCGAACTTTTGCCCGTTTCAACGTTATTGCGAATTAGAATAGACTGATATCGTAATAAATACGATTTCTAGCATCAGATAGTTAAGATAAATTCAACAGTAATTTGACATGTTGTATAGAAGCAGAAAAACTCACGCTGCTTTCCACGTATCGTGGGTTATTCGACAGAGGCGCTACCTATACAGAAAACATCGTACGAACTCATTTGATTTGGTGGTGATGTGGCAACACGCGACATTTCGATAAACGACGGTGTCGCACCCTATCGAAACAGTTATTTATTTTTCTCTCATTTCAAATTAATCCTAACGTTATACTCTTTATTTAACAATTATGAATTTTCTCTTTTTCTCTTTATACTTCTGTAAATTATATATTTATTTGATCTTATTTCTACTGAACGATACTTATATCTTAAATTAAACTTTAGCAAATTTTCAGTTATGCGAACACCATTACTGTATTTGAATGTTTTTGCTCATTATCATCCATAGTCATCTCAGGAAATATTCTAATTTAATATTATATTAGAGAGGGCATCTCTATTATCAATAATATTTGTCTACATCTTAACATAATATTATAAATTTTCATTATTGTAAAAAATAAATCAAGAGAGGAAGATTTATATGTGTATATAAAAAAAAAAAGTACATCCGCTTAAACGTAAAATTTAGAATAGTTTTTAAATTCAAAGACATTTTATTTAATGTTATGTGTTTACAACATTTTAAATATCTAATCTATGTGATATTAGCACGGAATGACGAAAGTGAGAAATAATTGAGAGAATAATGAAAGATATAAAAATAAAAATAACAGATCAATATATCTCTTCGCTTAGAAAATAGAATCTTTTTTTTTTTCTTTCGAAATAAAAATTAACTATTAGTTAGAAGAAATACGACTTATTACTACAAACATGCAATAATAACATTTACACTTTAACACACTCTCTGCTCACATATTTTTCATACTAAATAATATGCTTAAAATATAAAAAAACCTCAATCTGTCTTGCATATAAGACCTCTTGGATGAAACAAAAGAGAAAAACTAAAAAAATCGAAGAAAAAAAAATAAAGAAATACTATTGGTACTATTAGAGTCTTTAACAGTCTTTTTCTAAATCCTAAAAATCTTTGGATATTAACGCTCCTGAAATATTTAAATTAAATTATTAATCTACTTCTTCCATTCTAGAAATTTCTTCTGTATCTCCTTCAAGAGCAGGAACATCTGTGTCCATTTTTTCTTCCTCTTCATTAAATGATTCAGTGTCTTCAAAACCAAGACCCAATTTGATCATTCTGTATATCCTCGATGCGTGTATTTGTGGATCTTCAAGAGCAAAGCCAGACGAAAGAAGAGCAGTTTCAAATAGGAGTTTAACCAAATCTTTAACAGATTTGTCACTCTTATCAGCCTCTATTTTCTGCCTTAAATTTTCCATTATAGGATGATCAGGATTGATTTCTAAATGTTTCTTTGCAGCCATATATCCCATGGTAGATGCATCGCGAAGAGCTTGGGCTTTCATTATTCTTTCCATGTTGGCCGTCCATCCATATTGGGATGTAACAATACAACATGGAGAGTCAACAAGTCTGTTAGAGATAACTACTTTTTCTACCTTCGTGTCGAGAATATCTTTCATGACTTTGCAAAGATTTTCGAATTTGGCCTTATCTTCCTCTCTTTTCTTCTTTTCTTCTTCATCCTCTGGAAGTTCTAAGCCTTCTTTAGTGACAGAGACCAATTGTTTTCCATCAAATTCCTTCAATTGTTGAACAACATATTCATCAATGGGCTCTGTCATATAGACAACTTCAAAACCACGTTTCTTAACGAGTTCAACAAAGGAACTATTGGCCACTTGTTCCTTGCTCTCTCCTGTGATGTAGTATATATGTTTTTGATTTTCTTTCATACGGCCAACATAATCTTTAAGCGAGCACACTTCATCACCCGAAGCAGACGTATTGTATCGCAATAATTCAGAAAGCTTTTTCCTGTTTTGGCTATCTTCGTGAATACCTAATTTCAAATTTTTACTGAATTGTTCATAACATTTTTTGTAATTATCTTTATCTTCGGATAATTCTTCAAAAAGTTCTAAAGCTTTCTTAACAAGATTCTTCCTGATAACTTTGAGAATCTTATTTTGTTGTAACATTTCACGAGAGATATTTAATGGAAGATCTTCGCTATCCACCACACCCTTGACAAAGTTAAGGTATTCTGGAATAATATCTTCGCAATTGTCCATGATGAAGACTCTCCTAACGTATAATTTAATATTATTCTTCTTCTTTTTGTTTTCAAAAAGATCAAATGGTGCTCTTCTTGGTATGAATAGCAGAGCTCTGAATTCTAATTGACCTTCAACAGAGAAATGTTTGACGGCTAAATGATCTTCCCAATCATTTGTCAAGCTCTTGTAAAATTCACCATACTCTTCTTGAGTAATATCATCTGGATTTCTGGTCCAAATTGGTTTGGTCTTATTAAGTTCTTCGTCCTCTGTATATTTTTCTTTGATGACCTTCTTCTTCTTTTTCTTTTCGGTAGTAGACTTTTCCTCTTCTTCATCTTCTCCGACATCTTCAATTTTAGGTTTTGCAGTATCCTCGTCTTCCATTTCCTTCGATGGTTCATCATCCTCATCTTCACTTAATTCTTTATCCCTTTCTTTCTCAACCAGTAATTTTATTGGATAACCAATAAATTGCGAATGCTTCTTGACGATTTCTTTGATTTTATCCTCCTCCAAATATTCGGTTTGATCTTCTTTAATGTGCAAAATGATTTTAGTACCTCTTCCAATAGGTTCTCCATTATCAGGACGAACTATGAAAGAACCACCGGCAGAGGATTCCCATAAATACTGTTCATCGTCGTTGTGTTTTGATACTACTGTAACTTTATCTGCTACTAGGTATGCAGAATAGAAACCAACGCCAAATTGACCAATCATAGAAATATCAGCTCCAGCTTGTAAAGCTTCCATAAAAGCCTTAGTACCAGACTTTGCAATAGTACCTAAATTATTGACGAGATCAGCTTTGGTCATTCCACAACCTCTGTAAAACAAAAACCAGAGAAAATTAATAAAGTAACAACATATACATTGTCATATTACTTACTATCAAATGGTTATAAAAATTATTCACATTTAGTGGTGATAAACTAATTAGAAAATTGTTTCAGGATAAAAATACATACGAGTCAATAATAGTAAGCGTATGATCATTTTTGTTGGGTACGATCTTAATGAATAATTCCCTGCATGAATCTAACTTCGATGGGTTCGTAAGAGATTCATAACGAATTTTGTCCAAAGCCTGAAACATATATGATAACATATTTGATTTATTAATTGACTCATTAATTTATCATTATGTGTTAAATTATTTATAGTTTCTTAATAGAATTCTTAGTTATGTATTGTACATTCTTGTTGATTACATTCGTTAGGACAAATAGGTGAAAATAAAAGTAAAAAAAGAAAAGAAGAAAAGAAAAACAACAAAAAAAGAAAGAAAAAAGAAAAAGTAAAAATAGAAATGAATAATATACGAAAGAAAATTGTTACTCACGTCAGATGCGTTGGAAATTAATTCTCGGATAAAAATTTCTTTATTCGAGTAAAAAGTATTGATAATCAAGCTCATTAATTGAGCAATTTCGGCTTGAAAGACGAAAGTTTCGACTTCATTGGTGGTATCCATCATTGCAACGTCGGCCGGCATCTTGTTGGATGTTAAATTCAGCTTTAATCACAATAAATGCCAGTAAGTAGATGTTTTTAGGATTTACACTTGATCGCAGATGTAAAATGTATCTTTTTTCTTATCGAAGAACAATTATCAATTACGAAAATTGTAACTCTCTAATATTTTCTTTTACTTATTTTAGCGTAGACTCTTCGAATCAACACGTCTCGTGCGCGGTCTTCTTAGAAAATTATAAGAAGTTGGGGGAAACGCGCCGCTTTTATTGAGTGATGAAGATTCTAGAAATCACTCGCCGGAAATTTCAACCATTCGCGAATGTTCCATCGGATTTGAGTCTATTCAATAAATTTATTTTCATTATCTTACGACAGAATCGAGTTATAACTTATCGTTAAAATTAATATAAGAATTATCTTCAATATTAGACCTATTTTATAGTTCTCCTTATCTCGGAAGAAATTCAAATTTTAATGGTCGCTAAATCGATTAACGTAGTAACCGGAACATAGACCCTATAGGACACGTATCTAGAAGCATCGGGAACCGTCGATACTTGAATGATGTTATTATACATTAAGGAAACATAAGAGAAACGATTATTTATTAATTTTTTTTTCCTCGTTTCTTAATTGTTTGTTTCAACTACATTTTATTCAAATTAAATTTATATTAAAATAAGGTTATATTTTTATTTATTTCTATCATCTATTAATAAATCATTTTTGTCTTTGTTTCGTTCATTTTTTAAGAATTATTTTAATACACACACAAATTTTTGTTAACAAACGTATCATTATTCATTTTCTTACTTTTACATTTTCAATAAGAAATAATTATTATACAAATATGATTGTATTATTATACATATACTTGATTAACCTTGACACATCTATTTAAATATTAAACGTTGGTAAGATTTGAAAAGCATTATAATTACTATCATTTCATATGGATATATTATTTGTATAAAAGAAACATGCAGTTTTTATTTAATCCAAGCGATATTAGTATTTTCTTCAAATAGAATTATTAATTTTAATATATAGTTAGCTATTTATTTAACATTTATATAAAATTTAGTTAATATTTTGAATCTTATGATAATTTAAATTTGATTAAATTGATTTCCCGCCGATTTTAAGGGCTAGAAATGATATATATTTTAATTGGTACAATTGATTACTAGATGGCGTTACTATTCCAAGAAATTTTCAAGATGGTTCGGTGACGCTCGGTTAACTTCAGTCGTATTCGGTGCCGATCGGTCGTATTCGGTAACGATCGGTCGAATTCGTGAGAAGTGAAAGAGCGACAAAAGAAAACATGGCGGCGGTGTGTCACTATTGCGTTAGCGCCAGTGCGGTTTCGTGTGATTGATGTTACGTTAAGGACTGCCAGTAGTATCGTCTTTATTTACGAGTTTGATGATCGGAATAGATAATAATGAATGTGGTGCGTTGATATGTTTAATGTGTTGTGATGAAAGTAGATGCCGTTCGCGGCTGAAGAAAAAAACCTGGGGACTTTGTTTGTTTCGTTCAAGAAAAGTCTGCAATTTTCGGTGTTAGTGTTACACTGGTATGTATTTACAATTACATTATCACGATTATTCTTATATTTGTATTTCTATGTGCATTCTTTCCTTATTTTGCATTTTATTGTAAAAGAAATGTCGTGTCTTTTTAGACGATCGATGATCGTTAGGTTATCTTACGTCGTCGTCTTCGTCTTCGTCTTCATCGTCGTCGTCGTCGTCGTTGTCGTTGTCGTCATTTAATTCTACATGCATGTATCGAGATATCGTGACTATTAGATTTCGGGTGTGTTCCCTGTTGTCATAATGCGGGGCATTGACTCCCAGCGTTATTGTCCTCGTGCCACTTTCCTCCCCTCGTTGTTATTGTTTCAAGGTGAAGTAATAGTTCATTGACGTTTTTCTTTTAGTCTTTTTTAAACTCGTAATACTTTGACACTATTATTGTTTCTATTGCTTCTTGCATTTTAAAATAATGAACGAGGGATTTAAATTACCGACACAAGCAAATTATTATAAATCATTAACCCAAATTTCGATCAATTAATAACTAAAATAATAATTAAGATAGGTAGTTAAATTTATGAATCACTATGGAAAAATAATGATAATTTGATAGTTATTAAAAAATAGTAATATCGTGAGAAAGATCACATAGGACTCGTTTCTTTATGTCTTGCATATGGTAAACCCGTATGGTGCCTTCCAAAAGAAATAAAGAAAAAAAAGCGAAAGAGGAAAGAAGCGCGTGCACATACATATATACTTTTTGTACTACGTATAGGCGCATACTCACGCATTTGCTCGCAATAGCCATTACTTGAAAATTAAAAATAACAAATTTCCAAGTAAAAATTTCGGCGAATCAGTAACTCTTTACGATCAATCGATCAAAATTTCTCTGTTATCAGATAAATATATCGTATTTTTCGTTAAAACGATATACATGTATATCTATATTCAAATATAAAATGTTTACTGCATTTTGAATAAAACGATCTTATTGGTCGAACTTTTTATTCGTCGTTGGTAGTAGGTGGGAACATTTTCTAGAAGGTCATTTGACGGACACAAAAAAGAAATAAAGAAAGATAAAATAAAAGAACCAAAAAATAAAAAAAATACACATCAAAAAGAAAAAGTAAAAAAGAAACTGTACAGTGTCGCGGAGTAGTTACATGGCAAGTATATAAGTAATATAAGTATATATATATATATATATATATAAGCTAGTGTATATATATATAAAGCAAAAGATAGGAGAAGAGGATGGCGTCTCGTTTCAATGCGCCATACACACATACGAAAATACGAAGGAGAAAGAAGGGACATAACATCCAACGTGAGAACGTTCTCTCTGATTGTGAATTTGGTTGACGATATATAGGTCAGGCGCTCCTTAACGTCGAGGTCATTAACCCAGTCAGGGTTCTCGGTATCGTCGATAAAACAGACCTAGTTCTTTTTCCCGTCAATAGAGGTCACGGTGTGAGTTATATTTCGAATCGTTTATTCCTTTTTATAGTTCCTATAATTTATCACTATATCTTATTATTATTATTATTATTAGTATATTTATTGTTTAAAGTTAGTTATATTATAATATTAGATGTAATAATATTATTTGAAGTATTTTTATATATAAATAAATTAGGTTATAGGTAGCTTAAGTTTCTGGAATAATAATAATAATAATAATCTAAAGCTAATGAAAAATGCAGTATTTTTAAAGTGATTTGTTTTTACCAAAACTAGTGTTTTAAAAGGTAGAAATGTTTTTTTATTAATAATTTATATTCTTCTTATCTCTCTCCTTTGTTTATTCTTATTATCACTAAAATATTTCCTATTCGTTTTTGAAATATTAAAAACGTTGTAAACAGAAAAATTGTGACGTAAAAGTTATCGGCATTCACCGGTGAATTACATTGCAACAACAAAAATAACATTAGTATTTGAGTATATGTTATGACGATTGTTTTATGTTTTATGTTTTATTAATAAAAAAAATTCTACTTTTTTCCAGTCCTTTTTATATAGATTAACAAATTATACATATTGATAATAATATTAATGAATAAATAAATAAAAATTAAAAATATCTATGTGTAATATACATGTAGTATAGATATAATATGCACGCACCACGCATGCGCGTTCCTCTCCTTCTTTCTTTCTCTCTCTCTCTCTCTTGTTGCTTTTTCAAAAGTTTTAAAAATACATATATCTTTTTTATCTGGAGTGGGATGGTCATATTTTTGGAATACGCGGTTTCTCGATTCAATAACGCATACTTATTGCAACGTTTTTTTTTTTTTTTAAATATGTACTTAATACAGGTAAATTTTAAAAGGTGTTATATTAATAATCGATAACGATAGATGATTTTTGGTAAAGATATGCGTTTTCTTGATTATAAGTAAATATATAAAATGTACTATAACGCGAATGATGATTGATGCTTTTTAAGAAAATTAAAACGCCGCTTGTTGACCTTGTATTCAAGAAATTATATTCTCCGTGTTATCGCTATACTTAGGATTAAATAATTCATCGGTCGAAGTTCTCCTTTTGTTAGATTAGATTCGTGACTACACTTTTACAATGTTGCATCGAGCCAATAGTAATCATTCGTGTCTCTTTTTATTTTTTTTTTTTTTTTTCTTTTCGTTAGTTCTTTTTTTTTTTTTAAGCAACCTTAGATATCAGAGCGAAACGTATAATCCGACGAATACGCATAATCTTTGATACGGTAAACGATATATCACAATTAGAAAGATATAAATCGCATTTGCATTATATTTTGTTATTTCGTTGTTATTTTCTTCAACGTTCAAAAGAAAGAAAGAAAGAAAGAAACCAAAAAAAAAAAAGGATATAATCAATCAAATGTTAAAAAGGTGATCATTATACATTGCACTTTATGTAGAGATACCGGTTAAGAAAAAAGAAAATACAAGAAGGAAAGAAAAAAAGAAAGTAAGTAAGTATGTATGTAAGTAAGTAAGTAAAAAGAAGTAAGCACGAGTGTTTGAGTAAAACTGTTCTCACCCGAATAATAAATACCTATATTAATCGTCATTGAATTTCGAGACTTTGAAACGCGATCAAAGGTCAAACGCGGACTTTGCGTGGACATTCTTTTTCTTGTCTTTTTTTTTTTTTTTTTTTTTTTTTCCCCCTTCAATTTCGCAAAAGCGCACCTGCGACAGGTGGGCTGAAAGTTTCTGCCATTGGAGGAGAAGTAAGACGGGGATAAGGGAAAGGAGGA